CTGGTGCAGTTACTGAAGTTTTTAACCATTCACCTCTCTTGTCTTTAAGAATGTCAAATACTCATTGTAATTGTGAATGTAGTGACCATAAATAAATCTCCCAGAAACAGTAGAATTCCTAAGTGTTCTACGTATCATCTTGTTAGAGTTTACACTCCATAAGAAAACTTTAGGGGCTCTAGGCATGGCTCTGTATTTGCTGCGTCTGCTGCTGCTGAGTTTGGCTCCCGGAAACCACATAAAGCATCAGTGAGCATGGTGTTATCCCAGTCCAGAGTGGAGCCAGGGAGTCTCCAGAGCAAGCTGGCTGGCTACACAGCCAAATGGCCAGCTCTCAGCACAACAAAAGACATGGCCTCTACATGTAAGATGGTACGCTGTCTTGGAAGACCAACATCAACCTTGGGCCTCTACATGCATGCACACACATGAGCATATGTGCCTATATACATGTGAGCATACCTCCACATATATACACCACACGTATACACAAACCAAAAACCTTCGGGATAAGCATCTGTAAGACTGTACATTATTAGAAGTGAATATTGAGAGGAATCAGCATTATGGGATGGCACTACTATATCTTCTGTCAACTCAAAGAAACCTTTGCAAATCAGGAGTAAAGCAGAACACATGCTGTAAGTAAGTAGCACATCTTTCTGACCACCATATGTATTTGCCTTTTTGCTGTTTATAAAGTTGTAGAGACTTCTGGGAATACAGTGTGATTATAATTAATTTTTTTAAATGAGCTTTGATGTCATTAGTGGATATACCTGATTTCAGTGCTGCAGTTTAGGGTTGTGGCTGCCCTGAAATCCTACTTGCCATACCTCTAAAAGTGCAGTGGCAGTGTGGTGTGTTAGGTTTTTGCATATCGTTGTGCTGACTCAGCAGCGGTACAGTGTTAGGCGATGTAGTTAGTGCCTGTGTTACATCATCTGTCAGCAACATTTCCACTCAGGTCTGCGGCTCCCCATCCTCTCCCCTTCCTCTCACTTTCCTCACCCTGAATTCCCTGTCCAGTGTCCTCCCTTGCTTTCCTTCCTTATTCATTTTTTCCACCTCAGAAAAAAGGCAGAGCCAACTGTGCATCTGACTAGAAAAGCTGCCTGTCTCTTCTAGCCTAGAATGGAGGTAGATGGATGATAAGGGAAGAAATTTTAACTATTATAATTAATGCATCCCAGACAGAGACTGGGATGCAGAAATGGACGGGCAGAGCCAGGCATGGCCAGAGGCTAAGTTGACCATGCAGAATCTGACACATTTGTCTTGAGATCAAAATCTAAAATCTAAAATTCAGTTTACAATGGCTTTAGTGAACTGAACTCTTCTCTCCTAGAGACAATATGTCACATTAGGATTTTAAATCGAGTGAACTTTTGTTGGTGTACAGGAGGGTTTACTTCTGTTTGCATAATTCTATAAGCAAAAAGAGGGACTTATATCAACATGGCTTTTATTGTGTAATACCTACACAGCATGAGACCTTTTGAACTTGCAGTCTGATCCTGACAGAGTGGGTTGCCTTGGGGAACCAGACCGGAGCCATACCAGTGGGGCTGACATAGATGGAGATGGACCGAGATGCTGCTATAGAAATTAATAGCTAGAATCCCTTGTTTCATTTTTTACAATTATGTGTCTGTTTGTACAGACAGGCACTCACGTTCAAAAACACCTTTCTGGACTTATCAGACCAGAGATGGATGTGTTTGAAGACAGAGTCTGAGGAAAGTGTTTGAAGTTAGTTGGCAATTATCCCATTACCCCTGGCCCAACTCAGAAATAGATGAAGAAAAAAAAAATGTGCAAATATATGTCAGGTTTTGATGGTGACACCAAAACGGAAATGTATTTTTTCATTTTTAGTCTTTAGTTTTATTATAGCTTATTTTATATAGGGCTTAGTTTGTTGTTGAAATAATTTTCTCTCCCACTTAATACTAAAGTGATTGTTTGAATGTATGCTGTTTGTTTTATAGTGTTTCTAGACCTTTGTTTTTAAGATATATGAAATCTTTGTTTTCACTAATCTGTTAGGAATTCTTAATACTTTGAAAGTACTAGTTTTACTGTGTAAATTCCTCCTGTGCACTCCAGTTTTCCACTCTTATTTTTAGAAGACACCTCAGGGCACTCCAGGTGAGACCATTTAAGAGGATGTAGACAAATGAAGTATGGTAGAGGGAGTTTGGACAACTGAAATTTAAATGGCCCTCAGATGTGAGAGCTCTGGGACTAGAATGGCTGTAGCTAATGACATGTCATGACAACCTTTTAGGAAGCCGTGAAAAATACCCAAGGCTGCAGAGAACCCATGAGTGGATGTAAGCTTCATGGTGATTGGTCAGAATTGCATTTTTAAAGGCGTGTCTAGCTGCCCTGTGAACTGGGAGGAAAGTAGTAAGGCAGGCATGAGTATAGCGAGCATGGGAGAGGCAGCTGAGATACTTAAGGGAACGAATTCAAGGGGCATGCCTGGTCTCACCTGTGGCTCACCTGGGTGAGTGAGGTGGATGTCAGAGCAGCTAGCAGTGCTCTCTAGTTCCCGTGGGAGGTTCACATGGAAGTAGCAGTTGAAAACCCCAGAATGGGTGGGCTATTCAAGAATAAGAAATAAAACGAAGCAAAAACAGCCAAAGAGGTTAAAGAATAATCAGAAGGTGATTTCATATTAGGCAGTGAGTAAGAATGTTCTAGAAAAATAAAATGGCCATCTGTACTAGATGTTCCAAAGTTTGAACAGCAACAACAAAACTCTCTGGTTGTTCTCACTCTGAGGCAGCCATGTAGTGGAAGTGAGCTACAGGGATCTAACATGAAGGCTCACACGGAAGTTTCCAGTGGGTGAGAGAAGAAATGACTGTTTAGTTTTGAAGGTTGAAAGGGAGACGGAATACTGGGAAAGAGCAGGTGGAGAGGAATCATTCAAGATGAAAGGGAGTGCAGAGTGAGAGGCCAGCATGGAGGGAGATGAGGCTTTGGATTATAGGGAGAAGGAAACTTGTCTGGCTGAAGGTAAATCTGCATCAAGGTGGTGGGTGGAGTGTGCTTCTGAATCCTTTGCTTTCCTGTTGATGACCGCATTGGTGCTTGCCTCTGTTGAAGGAGTGAAGTTTGCAATAGTAGCCCCGCAGAAGCAAAGAGCTGACCAGGGAAGGCTGAGAGAGAAAGCCTCAAGGCTGAGGTTACTGATGACGAATCTGGAGTGCTGTGTCTCTGTGAAATTTTCCAGCAGCTGAAGCAGCAATCGCACCCACCTGACACACATGGACTGTGTATGAACTAGTCTTTGAAGTAGCAAGGAAGCACAGTGTGTGTGGCCCACATGCCCCTTTGACAGGCCCACTATTGTTCTGCACTGCAGGCTTGAGATCTCCTCTGAGGGTTTCTTGGTTGCTCCTTCAGTAAATGGTCCCGATGCTGTCTTGTTTTCCTTTAAGTTTTTGTCGACTTTTTTATACTATTTCTGTCTCCCCACTTCCTGTTTTTTTCCTTGTTGTCAGTTGTCCTATCACATTGCTGTCTGCATGCCCTGAACCCTGGACTTTGTCAACACCGGGAATTATCTGTCACCTCCCTGAATAGAGCTGTGGGCTGGAAGACCAGACAACCAAGCTTGTTAGAATTGTGTGCAAAGTAAGAGTAAATAATCTGTGAGTGTGACTCTCCTGTGCTGTGCTCTGAGGGTGTACGTGGATGTTTGAGTTCATGGTGTTTCTTGGATTGTTTCTCAGTTGTCCATGTATGAAATGCTTGTTGCCTGTATCCCATTGTGTTTTCTTACTTTGAATTTCCATGGATTATAATATTTTAGAGCCTATAGTGTTTATGGTTCTATCTTGTATAATTCTACATTAGTATTATTTGCAAAGTATTTTCATGAGCATTTCCTAAATTTTAAAACCATACAACCAGATACACTAAATTATTTATTATTCTCATGGATTTTCAAATGTATATTTCTTGTATACCAATAACATGTTTTGAATATGCATTTTGTATGCCAGTAGTATACCATGCCATGACTTAAGTATGTAGTCATGTCACGTGTACATGACATAGAACACTATAAAGCAAATGTTTTGGGAGTTTAAAAACTAAGTTATATGCTCTGCTCGTCACATACTTCTGTGTTGTATGGATTTCCTCATCTGTGAACATTTCATGTACAATTTTCATTTTTAGAGGTATATATTCAAGTGCCAGTAAGTATTAGTTTATTGTTTTCTATGGATAATTCTTACAGTGCCAAGGATTGGCTCTAGGTCCTCATGTACACTAGGCAAGCATTCCTGTCACTGGTTTGCACCCCTTCCCAGTTAACTCAGTTTTGACTTCCACCTACCTTCTTGTTAGATGGAGACTTTCCCAACACCTACCCCCCCCCCCCGCCAATGCTCACAACTTCCCCCTGCAGCCAAGCTAAGGCTTGGAGCATTGAGAATTATATGAGTCACAGGACACAATGGTTGGCTAGAAGATGCCTGTTCTTCCTGTCCACTGTACCCTCTAGGTTATGTGACCAGTGTGTCTCATTCCATGGGAATTGTCGGTAAGGCCAAGGAACCCTGGGAGCTTGGGGCTCAAGCGGCTCTTCTTTCCAGGGCAGTGACATCACTTTAACCGAGGAGAAGCCCCTCTCCTCAAACTCTATTGCATATCTAAATAAAATGTAAAAAGCCCTAACCAAGGTACACATAAACTGTAGCCTATTAAAATGGTGGGACGTGGAGAGAAAGCACATGAAGGAAGAACTTAGAACTGTAAGTGTGGAATAGTAAGAACCCAGCAGGCCTTCTCCACACAGTCTCCTCTAGAATAAGCCCTAGGTAGTCTTAGTGTTTATAGCTCAGTGAAGGATGATAGTGCTTATTAAACATGCTTATATCTTTCTGATATTCCTGGGAAGTGATCTTGAACCCAAACAATATGATGGTTTCCAGTGTTAGATAAATTTTCTAATACTGTTTTATCTTATTTTACCTAAGAACACTGGAACTATTTTGGGGCTGATGAGAATCTTGGTCCAGTGGCCGTGAGCATTCGAAGGGAAAAACCAGAAGAAATGAAGGAAAACGGATCTCCTTACAGCTACCGCATCATTTTCAGAACGAGTGAGGTAAGTGGCAAGTGAGTAAGGTTTGAGACTTGATCCAGCAGGGGAAATGGAACAGAAGCAGGGGCCCGGGGCGCAATTCAATAGAATAAGGTCACAGTGTTCTTAGAACAGAGAAGACTCAGGAATGGCGGCATAGTTGAACTGATAGTACTAGCTAGGACCTGAGTTCAGTCCCCAGCACCCACACAACAAAAGCCAGGTAAGGTGGCATGTGCTTGAAAGGAGGTAGAGGTAGGCAGATGCCTGGAGTTTTCTAGCTAGACAGCCGTGCCTACTTGGCAAGTTCCTGAGCAACCTTGTCATTTAAAAAAAAGAAAATAGAAGATAGCCTCTGTGGAATGACACCTGGGTAGCCTGTGCACATGTGTGCATGCACACACTCCTGCAGGAGAAAAGTCCTGTAGTAATGGCCCGGAGCAGGGTCGCCTACATCTGGCTTTTTGGTCTAGCCTGCAGTATGTGTGGTGAACGAGTGGGAGTTTCCATGCAGAGAAAGACAGACAGGTCCAGAGGAAACCAAAACCCTATAAAGCACAGATTTGGGGCATCTGAAAAGCACTCAGCACCTCCAGGAAGCTGAGTTCCCACAGATGAGGATCACCTCAAGACTTCATTCGGCCTTCCTCGTCACTGTGTTACTGAGCCAGGGAGAAAGGAAAAGGCTCCTTCCTGCTTCTCTGTCCATTCTGCATGTTCTTTGCAACCCAGAGTACGCTTTACTAGAGACAGAAAGTGACCTTTCTAAGAGTGAGTCTTTTCATGTCATAAATTCATCATTTACTTATTGTGTGCATGCTTGTGTCAGATGAGGCTCAGAGCGCAGCTGTAGGCCTTGCCTTGGCTCTGTTCTTCACCGTGTGTGTTCCAGAGATCCAACTCTGACCCTAAGGCTTGGCAGTGTGTGCTGTGTCCACTGGACATCCTGCTCAATCTGCCAGAACCCTCCAGGAGCCTGAATATGTGGGCTTCTATTTTAAGATGAAGCTCAAGTCTCACGTTTTCAAGAAGGAGAAAATCATATCGCTTAGAAAGCATTGAAACCAGAAACCCATATGGACACATTGGAAGCTCAGAGGTTCTTTTCACCATTTTTATTCCCATTTTCAATGTATTGCCTCAGCTCCTGATTCACTTCAGGATTGTTCTCATGTATCAATAAATGCCTAACACCCCTGAGGTAACAAGAAAATAATAATGGTTTTGAAATTAGTTTAAATAGAGCGTTTGGCTTCGTGTCCCTCATTGAATACACAGGGCAGGTTTTGGAGGTTGGCTTCACTTCCTAATTGTTTCTGAGCTTGAACTCTGGGGAAATTAAAAATAGGGGTTTTAAAGGCAAGGCCTTTATATCTAATGTGTTGTTTGCAGTGGCCAGGGAGGAGTGAAGCCCGCCTGTGTTCATGAGTCTCCTGTGTCAGAGGTGATGATGGCTCAGAGTCAGTCCTTTGCTATCTTCCCAGATCTACTAGACTTCTCAATCACCCTTATCTTATTTCCAAGTGGCTTGTCTGTTGCTCTCTAGCAGGTACCTTCCCACATGTCTGGCAACTCCACCCCGTACACACACAATACTCCAACTGAAGCTCCATCCTAGCTTCCCTTTTCTGTGGTGGTGTTGCCTTACCATGATCTTGTCCCTCTCCACCTGTGTGAAAAGCCGAGCTGGCATCTTCTCTGCAGGCCCTTTGTTCTTAGGCCCTGCACTGACGCCCCTGATTTCGCCTGGCAAGACTCCTTTCTGTCCCACACATTACAGTGGCCCCTGCCAGAACCCTGCTGGCTCCCGCTTTTCCCTTCTGCCCTTTCCCCTGAGCGGTGACTCTGTCCAGGCTCTGCTCCCTCCTTCTGGTCTTCCAGTCACAGGCCTGGCTCTCTTTCTTCTGGCCTCATCACTCATCATTCCAAGGGATGTGCTATTGAGAAAACCATTGCACTTGTTATATAGGGTTAAACTAATAACCTTCAGTGCCTGGCCAGTTTTGTAATTTTGTTTGGGCCAGAAAGCTGACATCACACTGACTTCTCTCGTCTTGTTTCTGCCCTCCAATCTAGTCTGTCAGCAACCTCTGCAGTCTTGTCTTCAAATACTGTGTGTCTAAATTCAGCTAGTTCATACACAGTCCACGTCTCAGGTGGCTTTCTTGGGAACACCTGGTGACACTGCACAGGGGTTGGGGATGCAAAGCCCTCCCCCAGCTGCGGTGCCTTCATTCCTTCGTCCTCAGCCCCACCGACCCCATTTGCCCATCCTCAGCTCAGCTGACCGCCTTTCCCACTCAAACCCTGACTTTCCTGTTTCTGTACCTTGATGTTTTCCTATAGAAATGTTTCTGTATTCTTTTAACCCATTTCTTTTTTTTTCTATAACCAAATCTAATGTCACCTGAGGTTTTTCCTAGTGTCATGTGAGCCATTGTCTTTTCTTTTCTGCCTTTAGATTGTCTTGTTGTATTCTTCAGTGAACACGTGTGTGTATTTCTCATGTCTCTCCCTGTTAAATGCCATACACATCCCCAAACATGTACTCTGTCTGCTGTCACCTTACAACCTCCCAACTTAATGGAAATCTACTTCCTATTTTATTTCTTAGACCATCAAATATTAGTCAAAATTTACAAACAGCTTTGCCACGTGAAACTTTGAAAATCAAGACCACTTTATGCCTAGGTTTATGTTTCTCTAACAAATCACTATTAATAGAGAGTGTCATTGCCTGAGTTTATGTTTGATCATAGCCGGAAATATTTTAAGAAGTCATTTCCAGCGTTGTTTACTGTGCAATCATTGCCATTATGAGGTATGAGCAGCCCCATGTTGGGGAATGTAAAACATTTACCATCAATAAGTATCCATCCACATTCTCAGTATTCTTGCAGTGTCCCCCTGGGAGGCCTCCCCATTCCTTAGTGTGCTTCCTAGTGCTGTGCGGTGATGCAGAGTCCTTGCTTTTATCGATCCCTGTAAGGGCAGGCTACGCTAGTCACTTAAGTGAATGACTCAATACTATAATAAATGTATCATGAGTTCTTTGGAATTTGTTTGGAGGTTTTTGGAAGCATTGGCCTCATTTTTCCTGTATTACTTCTCTCTCCCTTTACCTCACCGACTTGACCAACCACCAGCCATTTTTTTTAGCTTGGGACAGAGCTACTATCTAGGCCTGCAGAGCCCACGGCATATTCAGTCTCTCGTGCTATTATGAAGCCTCACCATAGTCCTTTATCTCTTGTAGCTCATGACGCTGAGAGGGTCTGTGCTGGAGGATGCCATCCCCTCCACAGCCAAGCATTCAACAGCCAGAGGACTGCCTCTGAAAGAGGTGCTGGAGCATGTGATCCCCGAGCTCAATGTGCAGTGCCTGCGCCTGGCCTTCAACACACCCAAAGTCACGGAGCAGCTCATGAAACTGGACGAGCAAGGGGTAGGTGTGGCAGTGCAGGAGCCCATCCTTGCTGCTCGGTTTCCCACTAGGTTTCCAGAACAGACTGTGATGTTTCTCCGTAGGTGGGTTGAACTGTGCCGTTTATTGTAAAGGATACTCTTTGTGATTGTCCATCTGTGACTAAGCTGGGAGATAGAGGCTTCAGCTCTTTTCATGGTCACCCACACATGTGATGGGTTTCTGAGTATGTGGGGGAAAGTCACGGCAGTATTAACAGTAAAAGTAAGTATAATGGCATTACATTACTAATAATTAGAATGCCAACGGCGAGCACTAATGAATGTGTTCACCAGGTTCTATCCAAGTGTTTAAAGTCTGTTATCCCATTTTACCTTCCAGCCTTAAGGGAGTGGCACTGTTACCCTCCCCATTCTAGAGACGAGGAATCTGAGGCATGGAGAGCTTATGTAATAAATTTAATTTCACACTGTTTATAAGGTGGGGAACCAGGATTCAAATGCAGTCATCTGCTCCAAGCTTGTACTGTTAGCTGTTAGCCGTGCCATTCCCAAAAGCTTAGGTTTTAGAAAGTCTACTTTTCAGTACTGCCAAAGATGAATTCTACCCAGGAGTTTAAGTGTAGAAATTTAAAACTAGGGTGTAGCATCATTAAAATGCTCAGGATTGCTGCCTTCATTTTTCTGTCCCCAACCATGAGGTCCTTTGAGTGATTGAGTGATTAGGTGACCTGTGTAGAGTCTGCAGAGTGGGAAAGGCTGCTGTGACTTGAAACTCTTACCATCTGACAGTGTGGGCCACACTCTGTTTGGAGTAATTGAGCACACAGCTAATTCTGTAGACATAGGGCCTGCATAATGTTACTTCTAACTTCTTTTAGCATTTTAGCCTCATGGCACCCTAGTAGCAGTAGTAAAAGTAGCTTGAGCATTGTATGTCGATTTTGACTGGGTATTGATTAATATTTTGTGAATAAGTGTTCTCTACCTTTCCTTAATCATAATTCTGGTCTTACTAAACTAAAATTCAACAACCGATTTCAAGGTATTTTAAGTCTTTCCCTCCCTTCAGTAAGGGTTTATGATGACCCAGAAGTTGATGGAGCTTCCTGGGCCCTCTTGTTTTCTCTCATGTTCTGCACATTACATCATAGCTAATGTCCCTTCAGGTGAATACACAAAGAATCTCATGAGTGTCTGTCTTTGTAGCTTGTCACTTTGGAGCACATCGAATGCTTCAGAAGGTGGCTGCTGCCTGAGCTAGAGTCCTCTGAGGACTCTCCCAGCACATATTCTGGACATCAATAAAGGAGGAGGAACCAGGATGGCTGGGCTCAGCTTTATTAGTTCAGTTATTTCAAATTACTGCACTTACCCAGGAGGGAGAAACCCACTCCGGCACCGATTGCACAGTCATATACCTAACATCCCTAATCTCTGCAGGACAGATGACTTCATATAACGAAGGTGTTTTATTGCCATTCCCCTTGTTTTAAACATATTAAATTTAAATTTTCATGTTCCAGTTGTGGATTTTTATGGGACGTCTGGCACATTCTGTGTCCTCTTAGTGATTGCAGAGTGTTGGGCCGCAGATGGTACTGATCTGTGATGAGCATTTCATGGTCCCTCCAGCACATGAAGCTCAGTAGGAATGCCGTAATGAGTCTAACTCAGTTACATTGATTTAATTCACAGCAATGACCATTATTCTATAATTATTGCTTTCCTTTTCTTGGCTACTAAAATATTTCTTCCTTCATAAATTATTAATTCTAATATATGGTCATTGTTTTCTTTAGTTAAACATTATAATATGGCCATCAGAGGATCTCCCTAGTTTTACTCTGAAAAAGGCATCTTAAATATGTTATCTCATAAGATGGGATTTCAGTGTTAGGCAGCCATTTCTGCCAGGCAGTGGAATCTAGCAATGAAAGCATGGTGTTCTGGGTGGTGAATAGTCCCATGTCTACAATGAGCTGTTCTACTTTTGCTTCTGTCTTTCTTGTCCCGATGCCTAGCCCCCCAGGCTGGGATCCTCCTGGTACTTACTGCACATGGGAACTGTGAATGAATGCCTTGGAGCCACTTTGAGGGTCTTTGGAAGTATGTACTCTAAAAAGAAATGCACTGGGCTGTAGTTGTGCACACTTTTAATCCCAGCACTCTGGAGGCAGAGACAGGCAGATCCCTGTGAGTTCCAGGACAGCCAGAGCTGTTACACAGAAGCCCTGTCTTGAAAAACCAAACCAATAAACAAACAAACAAATAGAAGAAAGACAAATGTACTGTACAGCCTACAAATCATTACAAATCATTTCTCTTTTCCATCTGTCTTTTCTTTTTTAATGCAAGCTTTCTGTATGTCCTTGTATTAGATACCAGGAAACTGGACTTGATAAAAGATTCTTTTAGATCTCACTATATTATATTTCTACCCTTATTTCCAGGCATAAATATGCCTGGAAAAATAAAGCAGTTTCATTCACTATATTGTGGTATTTTGTCTTTCAAATCTTTTGTGCTTGATTCTTTCTTTACAAGTAGATAAAGATGAACCTAAGAATAAAAATGAACCTAAGCAAAACTTGTTTTTGTAAGGTGTACAACAAAACGCTGTACAAGCATCAAATCACGTGCTTGTTGTTTGACTGGCAGAGTCCCGCATGCAGGAGTGGAAGGAGTCATTTCGACCCCTGAAGAAACTCATTTTGAGACATAATTGTATGCTCTGAGGCTTACCCAGCATTCCTATTTCTCTATCTTTTTTGGGATTTTGCTCTTTTTGAATAGCCACTTTAATTCTATTGTTATGAGAAAAGAGAACATAAAACTCAATTGACAAAGGTTCATACTGTCTACTGTTTATTGGGGCTCTGAAAAGGTTTCAACTTTGGATTTAGTTCACCCACCTTACTGTCAGGTCTCTGTAGGGTGGAAGCAGACTGTATAGGTGTGCATTGTACTATTAGTACACTCTGATCACTTTCCTGGTATTATCTGATTTAATCCTCACAGTGTCTCAGATCAGTTTATTCCAGTCATCAGCCTGCCTTATGTTCAAGACAACTGAGCCCCAGAAGCGTGGGGTGTTTTCTGTCCTCTCACTCCTTGCAGAGGCTGAGCACTGGCCACAAATCTGCATAACACCACCTTTTTAAGAATTGCATGTTTTCTTTACTTTTTCTTGTCTTGAATTACTTTTATCCATAAAGGAAATTGTGAAGTACTGGGAATTTCACTATTTATTCCATGAACTTTTAAATTGCATAGCTCATTCAGGTACTTTTAAATTGTGTCAGAGTCTTATCTCCAGCAATCATTGAAAACTGCCTATATCCCATCTGTTTTTTGCATGGGGAATGAGAGATTGTGTCATGATCTGTTTTCAGGAGTTGAGAAATGTGTAACACTGAGAACAACACTAGATGCTTGAAAGAGTCAAGGAATCTTAGCTGTTATTGATAGTTAGAAAACAATCACTTGCTGGTCAGCTTTGCATGCACCATCTCATTTAATCTTTGCAAACCTCCTGTGAGAGTGTTCCTATTAAAAATAGACTATTGTGTGTCTATACCCCGCATACCACTCCTTGCCGCTTGATAAGGACTGGTACACAGCCAATACCCATGAAGACTCAAGGTCGTGCATTATTGTAACAGAGGTCAGGGTTAATATAACACCTGCCAACAAAGAGAGACGTGGATGCAGACCAAAGGGCGTGAGTCCTGATTGGCTGACAGGATCAGAATGAGGTGCCTCTTGATGTGGAAGAGGCTTTCATCAGGGCTGAGTAAGTGATCTGGTGTTCCAGACCCAAGTCAGGAGGAACAAAGTATAGGGGTAAATAAAGGCTCACTGTGTTCGTGGAACAGCAATCAGGCTCACTGAGCTGGAGTGTGAAACACATGCAGGAGAGAAGTAGAAATAGAAAACATTGAGCAGTGACTGACCCAGGTACTGGATGAAATGATTTCCACAGATTTCCAAGCCCACATTCCTAATCCCTGTGCGGTATGCCCCATTCTGCTCCTCTTCTTGACTGGGGAGGAGCCTGGAATGATGAATCCAAGTGTTACCGACTGATAGAGGCTTCAGAAAGCAATGTGGGGTATAAAGTGTTAAGCCCAAAGAAAACAGACTAGGCCTGGCTTACAGATGTCAAAGCACACTTGCTAGTTTGTGGTAGAGGGGATCAGTAGCCCTCCTTTCATTCAGAAATGTCAAGTCACATATACTCAGGAGGAGCCTAATGAGGAGCGTCCATTTTAAAAGGTGTTTATTGAAAATACTCAAAATGAAAACGTGTTGTTTCTCAATTTTGAAAACAGTTAATTTTCAGGTTGTAGAAGTTAGAGAGGAAGTGTAGTCGTTTTACTGTACACCTGCAGTGCATGCTAAGAATGGCTATCAGGAGAAGGGCACTGTTCTTTAATAATGGATAGCACTGGTTCTTTGATAGGGTGTGAATGGAAACTCTGCTAACTGCCTGTTCACTGCCACAGGGCATTATTTTATTGTGAGGCTAACTGAGTTTGACCGGCCACTGCCATCTTTATTCAGGCAGCCTATTTTGAAAAATGACCCATAGGGGAAACATCCTATCTAAAACCAATTTTCTGTGAATGACACTTGGGCAGAGCAGTGACATCTCTAGAGTTTAAACCTCTTAGATCATTAGAGTCCCTTGTGCACGTTGGGTGTTCATGCGGTTCCAGGTGACTCCTGGACCTAGGCATGCATTCTCGGGAAGGAAGTACAGCCCTTTGTTCCGTGTGGCCCATCCATGCCTACCTGACTGAGGTTTGGTTGGATGACAGGATGGGTGGACCCTGTGGGTAAGGCCACTGATGGCAGTAGCATTGGGGAACCAGCACTGTGGCAAGATAACAGTTTGTAGTGACTGAGGGCAGCAAGGCTAAGCACCATAGGCATTAGGGGCTCATTCACAGTCAGAAGGGTGGCTGATCGGGCCGGCAATTCACTCTTCTTGGTTTTAAATTATGGGTTGTTTTTGAC